TTTTTTTTTTTTTTTTTTTAAGCTGTTTTTCACATTTCATAAAAAGGCATTAAGTGGCATGGGGTTTCATTCATTTTTAGAAGAAGAAAAGTTTTTCTTCTTCAGCTTTCTTGAAACTTAACTCCAGAGAGGAAGCCCTTGATAGATTATAAGGAAGGAACTGTTTGCCACAGTTTGAGTTTCAGACAAGACACACTGCATATTAGTTTTGTGATCACAGACTTCAAGATATTTGACATGGGTCCACCTTTAGTGCCATTTACCACCACTGTTTTTAACTAATGGTTAGCTGGAAAATAACAATGCAGTAGCTTTCAAGAACAAGGGTTGGACAACACTGTGTAAAGTAAATGTCTTAGAAATAAATTTTTTTTTTTTACTTCAGTCATTTTTAAAAACAGGTTTTGATTGTAAATGTAATTGTTAACAAAAAAGAACTGGTCTTTGGTTTTTGTTGTCTCTAAATGAGAAAATAACGAAAGAATCAAACACTGGATCTAATCAAAACTGTTACAGAGCCTTAATATTGAAAATCAAACAGTAAGACTGTAACAGACTTTAGTAGAAAGTACATTTTTAAACTAATGTGAAGTTATTAAAGGCTTTTTTCTGAGCTCAAAGTAACCTGTTTTGTTTGTCTCACTGCAGGAAAACAGCTCAGATTCTGACAGCAATGTAATGACAGTTACTGGTGAACCACCTCCTGTGCTAGAAGATCCTGAGGTTCCCCCCCTCGAGAGAACAGACAGCATCTTTGTAAGTTTGCTTCATGATATCATCTATACACCACCAGGATTAGCTTTGCTTTTCTTAGATATAATGCTTAGTGCATGAAATACTCATTGTTAATGCTATATTGATACTTGAACATCCTTGTTTTTGTTGTGCTTTAAAGTTTAACACTTAGGATACAAGGTCAAATAATTGTTGGCCTGGGTTTGAGTTGAAAAGTAACTTGCATTTTAGTCATTTCTGTGGACTTCTACAAATACCATTGTTTAATTTTAAATTGTGAATAAAGACATGTTGAATTTGATTTTCAAAGATTTTTTTTAATTGCCACTGTAGCACAAACATGAAATTTGGTCCTGTTAATTGTTTGTACCTAAACTACTGCAAAAAATTTGAACAATGTGGGGTTTTTATTGTATATTTTCCAGCTGCCACAAGACTACCTTGATCAGCTCTCCAAGGTGTCGGATGAATTGGAGACCCTTTCAAGTTGCGTCGAATGGACTGAGGATGAATTTGTCCCACCAAAGGAGCTGATGGTGGAAAGCAGTTCTGAAGGATCTGTTGATGTTCCTGCTCAGCGCCCAATGAAAAGAAAGAAAAGAAAACCTCACAGGACTTTGAAAAGAGCCAAACAGACGATTACTTGCTCAGACAAAGACTCCAGGAGCATAGAGAATGAGAAGGACACCAAAAGAGCCAAACGGACGATTACTTGCTCAGACACAGACTCCAGGAGCACAGAGAATGAGAAGGACACTAAAACAGGTAAGGTGTCTGTCATGAAGCTGCAGAAAAAGGAGGATGGTGGAAGAATTTACAGTAAGAAGCATTATTGTCTTTATTGTCCGATTAGTTGCCATAAAATGGCAAGGCACTTGGTGCGGAAACACAGTTCTGAAACAGCGGTTGCAAAAGCCATAAGCTACCCTTTGAAATCAAAAGAAAGAAAACTGCATTTCGATCTCATCAGAAATAAAGGAGATCGTGCTCATAATAATGAGGTCCTTAAATCAGGAAGTGGTACCCTGATCCCAAGTCAGCAGGCTTCCAAACCAGTGAATGCATCTGACTACATGCACTGCATTCAGTGTCAGGCATTACTCAAAAGGAAAGCATTATGGAGACACATGTCACGATGCAGACTCTCACAAAAGTGCAGTAAACAGAAGCCAGGCAGAAGTCGAATTCAGTCCATCTGTGCCTTCGCACAGCCTGCACCAGAAGGCGTGAGCCATAAAATTTGGGAACTAATAAATGTGATGCATCAGGATGAGATCTCACAAGTTATAAAAGAGGAGAAAACAATCATAAAGCTTGGAGAGCAACTTTACGCTAAGCATGGCCACGACAAGTCGAAACATGAATACATTAGACAGAAAATGAGAGAGATGGGAAGACTCGTTAGATTTTCAAGAAAAGTGGGTCAACTTCAAAGAATGGAGGACTTTTTTAAACCCTCCAACTTCAGTGTGGTTGTGGAAATGGTAAAAAATGTGTGTGGTTTTGATAATGACACCAACACTTACAAAACTCCGTCTTTGGCTCTCAAACTTGGTCATAGCTTGAAAAAGATTGCTGATATTCTGGAGTGTGAGGCACAGATGTCAGAGCATGTTGATGAGCAGTTTCTTGAAAACCTAAAGAGGACGAGAAGTCTTCTGGAAAAGAAGTGGGATGCGTGCATTTCATCACGTGCCCTGCAAACTCTGAGTGAAAGTAAATGGAACACACCGCAGGTTCTTCCTTTCACAGAAGATGTGAAAAAGATGCACATGTATCTGGATCAGTGCAGAGAAGAATACCAGAACAAAGTGAGAAACAACCCGGACAAGAAAAACTGGTCCAAGCTAGCTAAGATAACTCTGTGTGAGGTCATTCTGTTTAACCGCCGAAGAGAGGGGGAAGTTTCAAGGATGCCATTAAGTGCATTCACACTTAGAGACACGTCAGGAGTTCAGTCAGATGTTGTAACCGGTCTTTCTGAGTTGGAGCAAAAGCTCTGCCTGCACTTTCAACGGATCGAAATTAGAGGCAAGAGAAACCGCAAAGTTCCCATCCTTCTAACTCCAGACATGCTTTCATCCATGGAAATCTTGGTTGCTCATCGCCGGGTCTGTGGTGTGCCAGATGAGAACCCCTTTTTCTTTTCAAGGCCTGAGGCAGAGACTCACCTAAGAGGATCAGATGCCATTAGAGAGATCGCAAGGGCCTGTGGAGCTGAACATCCAGAAACTCTGTCCTCCACAAAGCTAAGAAAACAGGTTGCCACGCTCTCCACAGTTTTAAATTTAAGGGACAACGAAATGGATACACTTGCAAATTTTCTTGGACATGACATAAGAGTTCATAGAGAGTATTACAGGCTACCTGAGGGGACTCTGCAGTTGGCCAAGGTCAGCAAAATCCTGATTGCCATGGAACAAGGCCGTCTGTCAGACTACAAAGGCATGAACATGGATCAAATCCAAATAGATCCAAATGGTAAAAACATTCGGCAATACTGGTGATTTATTTCAAAGTAAATTCTTAGTCATTGTCTTTAATGCTTTTATGCCTATTTTTCAGAGAAAGTACTTGATTGTCCTGATAGCGAGGTCTCTGACACGGAGGGGGACTCATCTTTTTGTTCACCAGGAGGTGGGTTACAAACACTGCTGTTTTTCACTGCCAACATACTGAAACAATTTGATTCACAAGTTAATGATTCAATTTTACAATTCAATGTCATTCCGTTATGTATAAATTTTATAGTTCAAACTTTCCATTTAAAACCAATTTTGATTATGGCACACTTGATAAACACTTAATGTCTAAAATTACTAGATTTATGCTTTTGATGAAGCAATTTTGCATTTTCTAAGTAAAGATCATTTCAATATCAATGTTTCAAGTTTAATTAATTTTTTAAACTTTGCCAAGTAACAAAGAATTTTTAATTCCATGTCCAAATTCAGCAATTCATTACAGCATCTTTTTATTTACAAAGGATCATCAACATCCAAAGGAAACCAACAGCCGACTGAAGAATCTACAGACAAAATACTGACCATTGTTTCTAAATATCCAGGCTATACTTTACACTGTTCCCCCTGTGTGTCCCAGCAGGATCTTCAACACCCCAAGAAAAGCAGAACATGGAGTCAGACGGTTGCAGCTTTGAATCAGGTATCTAACACATGCTAACAGATCACATTAAGAAGGCCTATCATCACCATTCATCTTTCTTCAAATTCAGGCCACTATAGGCTGGGGTAATGGTGCCGGTGTGCTTGGCTTGCCATCCTCGGTTGTCTGTCTCGCCATTGTTTTTTACCCTCCCTTTTTCCTTTACCTTCACTTACATACCTTGGCACTGTTTTTTTTTTTTGTTTTTTTTTTTTTTTTTTTTTTTTTTTTTTTTGGGGGGGGGGGGTTGTTTGTTTGTTTGTTTTTTATCTTTACTTTTCTAGTTGTGTGTTTATCTAGTGGTTGTGCACTGATTACATATGACAGGCAAACACTTTTAAATCTTCATTCTTACCATTCGTTTCGGTCCGACCACTGCTGGAGTGTGGGCAGCACTAATCTACCACAACTGGATTCGTCCTTCGGCTTCTCCTACCTACCCCTCCCTAATCTCCACAAGAAACGGAAGCGAGAAAGAAGTGTCCATCACGTCCGTCTCAGGGCCAGAATTACAGACCATGTACATGCTAGCCTGGACACTCCATCCTTTTTTTTCCCCTCTTCCCTGGTATGTTCTGATGCCAAGTTGCCTACTTATCGCTGGATTTACCCGGTTCATCATCAAGCCTCCTCTGCCCGTTCTGCGACACGTTTTCCTATTCGAATTTGGATAACGTCGCACTGACGGAGAGTTTGTCGAAGCAATCTAAGCACCTCCACGCCGAGCTTCTAGAGGTGACTTAGTATCCTGGCCACAGATGGCACCCCTTAATCTCAGGTTGCTGGTAAATAACACCTTTGTTTTAAATGACTTCTTCTCTAATAGCAACCTTAATATTTTATTCCTTTCGGAAACCTGGATTGGCCCTGGTGACCTCATCCCTTTCTCTGAACTTCTTCCTTTGGACTGTGCCTATTTTAGTTCACCGAGGCTTTCTGGTAGGGGAGGTGGTTTAGCCTCGGTTTTTAAAAACGTATACAATGTTCGGCAACTTTCCTCACCTAACTTTGCTAGTTTTGAAGTTCAGTTATTGGAGATGACTGCTTCCACGAGCACTCTGTGTGTGTTGGTCTACCGACCACCCAAATATAACAAGTGTTTTATCTTGGACTTTACCGACTTCCTTGGTTCCGTTCTTTTTAAATATGACACTGTTCTTACTGATTTTAACATACACATCTGTTGCAAGCATGACCTGCTTGCTAAAGACTTCCTTGCTTTAACTGACTCTTTTAACCCCCTTCAGTGGGTAAATACACCAACCCACGTTAAAGGCCATATTTTGGACTTGGTCTTTACGTATGGCCTGGATATCTGTATTAAGGATATAAATGACGCTGGGATTTCAGATCATTTCCCAATTTCCTTTGATATTGGTTTATCTGCCGCTGGACCGCAGTCTGGAGCTCTTTCTCGTCCGCTACGTGTACTCAGCTCTGAAGCTGTGTCAAAGTTTGCTGTGTCTTTTTTGGATTCTGCATTTATGATTCCTGACTGCTGCTCAGTTTGATCATCTGATGGTTATGCTGATATTTTGTTATCATTATTTTCATCTACCCCTGAATTTGGCTGTACCTGGCTACTGTTCTCTCTGCTCACTTGATGGTTATGCTAATATCCTGTTATCTTTTGGTTCTTCTATTCTTGATTTTGTTGCTCCCATCAAAATGAAGCACTCCAGAACCTACTCTCATTGCTAGCTAAACAATACTACATGTGCATCACGACGTGTTTGTCAACGTGATGAGAGGAGGTGGAAAAACAAACTTCAGGTCTCTTATGACATGTTACAGACTAGTCACTTTAATTTTCAAACAGCTGCTACAATGGCAAAGGCATTTTTTTATTCCAAAGTCATTCTGGCTAATGGTCACAACCCCCGTATGCTATTTAAAATTTTTTAATTCTGTTGTTAGTCCCTGTTCGTATATGCCTTTACCATATTCACAAGCCCTTTGAGCGTTTTTAAATTCTTTTTTTAGATAAGGTTTCATCTTTTAAGTCTTCCTCTTCCTCTGCTTCATGTCCTTTTTTTCCCTGTGGGTGTAATTCAGCTTTTCATCGATTTGAGCCCGTGTTACTTTCGACTCTTAACCAGCTGGTTGATCAACTGAAAAACACCAATACTGTGTTTGATATTCTTCCATCACGCATTGTTAAGGGCTGCTTTAAAGTAATTGGAATGAGCATTCTATTCTTAATGACTTTTTCTCTACTCTCTGGATCTGTCCCACTGGCCTTTAAGCATGCTGCAGTCCAGCCTATTCTGGGAAAAAAAAAAATCTTGATTGTTATGATCTCTTGAACTATAGACCGATCTCTAAGCTTCCGTTTCTGTCCAAGATCCTGGAGCGACTAGTTCTTTCTCAGCTTCAGGCGTATTTAGACGTGAACAACATTGGAGAGAAATTTCAGTCTGCCTTTAAGCCACGGCATAGCACTGAAATGGCCTTGCTTAGAGTTCTCAATGACCTTCTTGTAAGCACTGATTCTGGACACCCTGTGGTCCTGGTTTTATTGGACCTTTCCTCGGCTTTTGATATGGTGGTGCACAACATTCTTTTATTAAGACTTGAGCATACTGTAGGGGTATTAGAGGCACTGCCCTTAACTGGTTTAAATCTTATCTCGCTGACTGGTCATTCTCGGTTAATTTGGGCAACTTCTCGCTTTCATTGCTATGCTGATGATATACAGGTTTGCTTTGAGATTACAGACGACCTTAATGTCTTTTAATTATTTTCGTGAATGCATGCGTGAGGTTAAAGATTGGTTCAAGAATAACTCTCTTATACTGAACGAAAAAGAAAGAAACGGAGATCGTGGTGTTCGACAGTAAAATTCCCTGTGACCAATTGTGTGCTGTTCTGATGCCCTTTGCTAGCTCCCTTTCTGATTATGCCAGTAATTTGGGCATATTACTGGATAGCTCATTTAAATTTGACAAGTAAGTGTCTGCTGTAGTGAGGTCTAGTTTTCATCAGCGGCGCCTCATTTCTAAGGCTAAGCACTATATTCCTTATAATGACCTGGAAAAACTTATTAATTTGTGACTTCCAGGTTGGACTACTGCAATTCTCTTTAAATTGGCCTTTCCTCCTCCCTTCTCCTTAGATTGCAGACTGTCCAGAATGTGGCATACCTCGCAGCAGCTAGCTCGGGGTGTGGGGGGGGCGCAGAGATTTAGAAAATGTTTAGAGTCCAACCTCATTTCTGCTGCTCCCCCTGCAAATAAATTTGGGTGCTTGGTGTGAGTGAGACTGATACAGAGGAAGGGTTAGATGGAGGCAGATGATTTGTTGTGGAGACCCCTGAAGAGAGTAGCCAAAAGAAAAGAAGTACTTTTCTCTTTCTCTCTCATGTCTTGTAAAATACTCTTTATTTTATTACCAGGAACCACCAATTCGAATGAAAAAGAGCATACAGTGGAGCCTGAAAAGTGTCCCTCCAAAACTGGTATTTCACTAACTTTATACTACACTTTAAGTGCTTCTCAAAAATGCCTGCTATTTTTTGCTAATAATATAGCTTGTTTCTTGTTTGTTTTTGTTTTTTATTTTGTAAGTGAAAAATGTAAACAATATCGTCCAGAAATATGTGACAGCCTTTCAGCTCACAGAATCTTTAGATGTCTAAGAATACCTGCATCTTCAAGCAAAATCCAGCATTTAGAGGCTCACACACATTCTGCAAAACCTAATTAACATTTGAATTGTTTGCTCTTTCATCCATTTACTGAGATTGCTCCCACTTGACTCATTAGAACATATGTGTCAAACTCTGGCCCGCAGGCCAAATTTGGCCCGCAACCTAATTACATTTGGCCCACAAAGCCATACCAAATTACGATTAGAGCTGGCCTACTGGTATTATACAGCTAATATATATATTGTTTAGTATTAAGCTTT